AGAGGTCTCCTGTGGGCTCTCAGGGTACCAAACATCCTCTCCCCGCCTTAGCATCCCCATCATGTGCTCCCAGTCATGAGTGTGAGAGCCTATCCAACCACGCGGGGAGAGCCTAGGCTCTTCTAAGCGGGCTGGAGACCCCCCAAATCCCCACAGTACTGGGCACCTGGCTGCTCTGTCTTCTGGCCTGGCTTCATTTCATCCCCTCTGCCAGCCCTTGCCTGGCACCTGGCTTTCTGATAACCTAGTGCCACACCAAGGGAGGAGCACACAGGCTTTGAAATCAGGCATACCAGAGCTTGAGTCCTAGCTCAGCCACTAACCAGCCGCATGACTGTGGGCAAGTTAGTTGACCTCTCCCAGCCTCAGTTTCCTCATCTGCAAAATGGGGGTAATGGTGTCTACTTCTCTAGGTGGGAGTGAGGAATCAATTAACTAGAATAATGTATGTGAAACATCTGGCACATATTAGTGCTCAATACATGTGGGTACCTTTCCTGTCCCACTTTCCTACACCTCTCTGCCACTTATCTGGACCCTAGTGNAAAAAAAAAAAAAACAGAAAACACTCAGAAGGGCAGAGTTTGCTCAGGGATCTGCAGACTGGGCAGAGGTTAAGACCTCATTCAGTTCTGCAGTGGAATGGGGTGCAGGGAGGGGGTATGGGGCACAGGGCAGAGCAGGACAGGAGTGGCTGCAAGCCCCACTCGGAAATGCCCTGGGATGGTGTACTCTGGCTGGGAGCTCTGAGATGAATCATGAAGGCCCGCAAAGGGAGTCCGGACCCCTTTGCCTTGGTCCTCAGCCCCAGGCCAGAGTGGCCCCTTGGCCTGGGGGAGGGGGCAGGAATCCAACACCCCTCCCACAGGCCTTGCTTTACTGACCTCGGATCTGCAGGTTGGAGAAGGTTTGCACAGGAATGGTGATGCTGAAAGAAAGCAGAGGGAAAGGCGAGACCAGTCTGCCTTAGGACATCCCCAGGCTGGGTCCTGGCCCAGGGTCATCATGACAACCTTGAGGCCCTTTCCCTTGCTGGGAAAGTCTGACTCCATCTCCTAGCTTTCCCCAGCAGCTGGCGTGCTCCCTGGAGCTCAAAAAGTCTGCAAGGGACTTAGGTGTTATCTGTGAGCGGAGAATCTCTATTTGAAAGAAAGTGGCAGCTTGTGGTGAAGAAAATTCCAAGGAGGCAGAGGGATCTGTCAGGTGGAAAGAAATCCAATCTTGATTGGGAGGGTTGGGAGTGGGCCTCTTAGTTGGGGGGTGATCCAAGTCCTTGGCCCTGGGACCCAATCAATATGGGTTGAATCCATTCATTCATCAGACATTCATTAAACACCTGCTGTGTATTAGGCAGGCACTGGTGGAGGGGGTGGGACACAAGGCTGAATGAGACTCAGCCCCTGAAGGGAGCAAGGCAGACTCTACAGAGGGGCAGGGGAGAGTTCCCTGGGGCTGTGGGGGGCTCACCGGTTCTCCTCGCCCTCCAGCAGCTTCCTGTAGGTGGCGATCTCGATGTCCAGGGCCAGCTTGACGTTGAGCAGGTCCTGGTACTCCTGCAGGTGGCGGGCCATCTCGTCCTTGAGACTCTGCCCCTCCTCTTCCAGCCGGGCCAGCGCCTCCTGGTAACCCGCCGCCTCCCGCGCATGGCGCTCGTCCTGCTCGCGCATCTGCCTCTCCAGGGACTCGTTCTGCGAGATGGAGCCGGCGGGTCCCTCGGGGCCCCGCCCCAGTCCCAGGCCCCGCGTCCAGCCCCCGGGGCAACTTCTCAGAGCCGCGCCCTCAGCCCTGGTCCCCTCCCCTGGCCCTTCTCCTTTAGAAGAAGAGTGGCCAGTCCCCTCTAGAGTTGTGGCCGGTCCCCTCCCATCCCTGTCCGGCCCTGCCCGCGCTCACCTACGGTACAGCAGCGGGTCCCTCGGGGCCCCGCCCCAGTCCCAGGCCCCGCGTCCAGCCCCCGGGGCAACTTCTCAGAGCCGCGCCCTCAGCCCTGGTCCCCTCCCCTGGCCCTTCTCCTTTAGAAGAAGAGTGGCCAGTCCCCTCTAGAGTTGTGGCCGGTCCCCTCCCATCCCTGTCCGGCCCTGCCCGCGCTCACCGTGCCGCGCAAGGACTCCAGGTCGCAAGTCAGGGCCTGCAGCTGGCGCCGGTAGTCGTTGGCCTCGTGCTTGGCCTGACGGAGCAGCTCCGTGTTGCGGGCAGCAGCGTCCGTCAGGTCTGCAAACTAGATGGGGAGAGGGCCGTAGGCTGAGGGGCAGGTCGGGACCCTGGGGCCATGAGGGGTGGGCACCAAGGGGGGGCGAGCTGTGTGGTCCATGGACAAGCACGGTCTCTGGGAAATCAGGGAGGTGGGCAGGACCCATGTCAGCCCCAGAACATTGGCCCTGGCTGGGATTATTCCCAGCAACTGTGACCCACAGACAGAGGGCAGGTAGCCACCGCTGGGCCTCAGCACCTAGCACAGTGCAACAGAATCCAGAACCTTCTGCACTAGCAGCGGCATCTGCCAGACTGAACCCTGGCCTCCCTTACCCCAGACAGCGGGCTCTGACAAGCAGAACCCTGGGTTCTAATGGCCCTTTCTCCACCAGCTTGCAGGGAGGCCCTCACAGCTCCATCAGGCCTCAACCCTGCTCAGATGGTCACAGGTCACCGCTTCTGCTACTCACACTCCTCAACTTGGCACCCTGGGCCCTGCCCCTCGGTGCTTTTCTGCCTCAGGCCCCTGCACAGACTCTGGCCTCCACTCAAAATGGCCCTTTCCTCTTCTCTTCGTGTCCATAGCCTGCCTGTCCTGCCTCGCCCAAGTGCCACCCCCCCTTCTATGACATCTTCCTTGGTTCCCGCACTGCGTATAAACTCTGCCCTGTGGTGTTCTCTATGGGCACCATATTTGGGTCCACATCACATCTCGCCATGTGTCCTGGGAAGTGCCTGGCATACAGTAGATGAACAGGAACCCAGGACATAGACTGGCAGAGGCATTGAGAACGCAGGCTGCCAAGTGAGAGGGGCTAGGGTCGGAACGCTACCACTTAGGAGCTGTGTGACTTTGGGCAAATTAGCCTCTCTGGGCTTCAGTTCTCTCATCTATCAAAGAATAGTACCTACTTCATAGTAAGATAATGCATGCAAAGCACAGCGCCTGGCACACAATAATGTTGGCTGATAATAATAATAGTAGTAAAAGCGGCAATAATAATAATGAGTATTTCTGTAAGTAATAGTGCCTGTGTGACCCTGGGCAAGTCGTCTCACTTCTCTGGTGAAGGTCAGAGGGAGTATGCTCTGTTTCTTACACCCTCTTTCTCCATTTGTATGGAGCAAGGGCGGCTGCCCAGAGGAGGCAGGTTGGGCCACAGCAGGGCTACCTTGGACCGGTACCACTCCTCTGCCTCCTGCATGTTGCTGGACGCCACTGCCTCATACTGTGTGCGGATCTCTCTCAGGGCCGCTGTGAGGTCTGGCTTGGTCATGTCCAGCTCCACATGGACCTGCTGTCGGGCCAGCTGCTCCTGCAGTTCCCGCAGCTCCTGGCCAGGGTGAGAGAAGGGTTACCAGGGGTCAGGGCCCTGGCTGCAGCTGAGGTTCCCCACAGCATCATGCCCTCTTCTGCCTGTCCCTCGACCATGGGCATTGGCTAAGGGAAAAGGGGCAACCCTTGGAGAAAGTAGCATGGCCCAGGCTAAGGGAGGCAGTTTGGGGACCCCATAGCATCCTCCTCCCAGTGCTGAATGGGCAGGAGCCAGGCGCTCAAAGTGTGCCCATGTTCTCGTGGGAGATTGACTGACTGCATCCCTGTCGGTAGGTGTGATGTGGGTCCCCACATTGCATGGGGTCATGGATTCTGAATCCAGGGCCTGAGGTCAAGAGCTCAGTGGGATTGTTTTTTTATGAATGGCTCTCATTTTAATGGGGACAGACGCAGAGGGGGTGGAGTCAGAGAGACTAACTGGGACCTAAGCACCTTCTTTAACCTCTCTGGGCCTCAGTGTCCTCCTCTGTGAAAAGGAGATGATACTGGAAGTGTTCTCTCTCGCAGAGGTGTTGTGAAGGAGAAAACAAGGCAGCAAGGCCTGCTACACTCAGTCGTGCTGTGTTGCTGTTGTGCTCTCAGTACACGGAGTGTGTGTCTGTGCACGTGTTACCAGGGTTCGGGATGCTCTCTTGTCTCTCTGTCTTCACTCGCTGTCCCTCGCTTCTAATCCTACTTATCATTTTCTCTCTCTGTCTGCCAATCTCTGTTTCTCTCTCTCTTTCTCTCTCTCTCTCTCTCTCTCTCTCTGTCTCTGTCTCCATTTCCATTTTCTCTCTCTGTCTGCCAATCTCTGTTTCTCTCTCTCTTTCTCTCTCTCTCTCTCTCTGTCTCCCTGTCTCTGTCTCCCTTTCTCTCTCTCTCTCAATTGCAGTCTCTGTGTTGGGCTTTCCACCCTCTGCTTGGCCTCACCTCCTCATGGATCTTCTTCAGGAACCGGATCTCCTCCCCCAGTGACTCAATCTTCCTTTCCAGATCCAGACGGGCCAGGGTAGCTTCATCTGCCTCCTGGAGCAGGGAGGGGGCGAAGGGCCACTCTGACCCCAGACTCCTCCGCATTCTCCAACCTTGCCTTACCCCTTCTTCTGGGGCACAGGGGAGCATCACATTGCTCTGGAGGTCTGAGCTTGGGGGCTGTATTTGGGTTGCTGGCATCCCCCGCCCCCGCCCCCCGTGCCTCCCGTCCACCTCTCTGACCTGTCTATAGGCAGCCAGGTTATTCTCAGCCTCCAGCCTCACATTGGTTTCCTCCTGGAGCCTGGGGTGGGGGACACATTTCTGGGTCCAGGCTCTTCTGAGGACTCTTGGATCCCTGCCCCAATCTGCCTGGAAGTGGCTGTCACAGAGGGAACCCCCCCACCCCAGGACCAGTAGAGTAGGCAGGAGGGGTCAGAGGGGTCATAGACAGAGGCTTTGGCTGAGACGGTGAGCAGACAGGGACTTTTGCTTTAACTCATTACTAAGGTGCCTTGTTAGGGTTTGAGCACCTGCTCCTGTTCGCATAGGCCCACCCAACAATTCACACTTGCTGCTGTGTGTACAAACACACACATCCTCCTGCACTTGATGGCACATGTGCATGTCCTGCCAGCTCAGCAAAGCTTCATGCCCCTGGGGTTTCCTCTGACCCCAGGTAACTACCTTTTGAGATGGATTTTATTATGATCTCCACTTCATAGCTCTGCAAGTCAAAGTGACTTGACTAGGGTTGTAAGCTGGTGACAGGTAATCACCTGTGTTCTGTACCCAGGCCTGCCTGCTCTTTCCCCCTTTTCTTTCCCCCAGGGCCCAATCCTCTTCATGGACACCAACCTTTTCCTCCACCTCCTCCTTTATACAGACTCAGGCTCAGAATATGTGAGCTCTCTGCCCACAGTCCCAAGGCCCGGCTGTGAATGAACTGCAAATACCCTGTCTGCCGGAGTCCCTGACTGCTCCCCACACAGCTTTTCCCAGTGGGGAGGTGAAAAAAGGGCCCCGACTCCCTGGCAGGTCATTGGGAATCAGATCCCTGAAGCCCAGGACCCTTCTCCAGTCCCTGCCATCATGTTGGGGAGTGAGGCTAGCCCTCCCATCCCAGAGGTGGGGACGCCCAGGGAACGGGAGGCAGAGCCCCCGCCCGAGACTCTGCAGGCCTGCAGGCACTGCCTCTTAGGGGCTCAGTCCTCTCTGTTCACGAGGCCCTCTCCCTGACCCCTCCTCACTTCTGCCTTAGAGTGCCCAGGTCCTGGGCCAGATTGTCCCTTTCGACCTCAAGCCGGGCGCTGCTGGCGGTGAGTTGATCAAGCTGCAGCCGCAGCTCACGGAGCTCGGCCTGGTAGACGTCAGCCAGCTTGGTGGGCTCCTTGGACCGCAACTGGTTCAGCTCGGCAGCCAGCGCCTTGTTTTGCTGTTCCAGGAAGCGCACCTTCTCAATGTAGCTGGCAAAGCGGTCATTGAGCTCCATCATCTCTGCCCGCTCACTGGCCCGGGTCTCCTTGAAGCCGGCGTTGAGTGCCCCAGCCAGGGAAAAGTCCACCCGGGCCGGGAGTGGAGGGGACATTCGAGCCAGGGAGAGGCGGGCGCCAGGCCACAGGCGGCGGCCGGGAGTTAGGCCCCCCACCACCATCTCCGCGGATGAGACGTAGGAGCGGCGAGCAGCCGAGGTGACACGTCTCCTTTCCATCCTGCCCTGGCTCTGCTCACTCTGGGGATGTGAGGGCTTTATGGAGGAATGGGCTGGACTGGCGCTGCCCAGGCTGCCCCTGGCAACGCCCCCTGGCATAGCCTAAGGGGGCGGGGCTGGGCCAAAGCCCAGCCATGGGGAGAATGCCTCTCGCCCCACCGAGATCACTATGCCCAAAGGCAGGGCTTCCTGGGCATGTCAGCCCTGGCCTGAGGCAGATGGCGCCTGGGGCTGGATGCTGGGTCTGGGTCACTGACCACTGAGCAAAGAGACCCTCTCTCTAGGAAGGTGGGTCAAGAAAAGGCTGGACCAGACAACCTTTGATCAGGCTGGTTAGCTCAGTTGGTTAGAGTGTGGTGCTGGTAACACCAAGGTCCAGGGTTCAATCCCTGCACCAGCTAACCACCAAAAAAAAAAACAAAAAAAAAAACGAACATGTAGATAACCTCTGACATGCCTTCCAACTCATAGATTCTCCCCTCACTTGGCACTTCTCCAAGTGCCTGTCAGATGCTGGGAATTTGGTGAAGAACAAACCTGTTTCATACCCTCAAGGAGCAGCTTTCTACCGAGCCCCATCCCCAGCAGATTCCTGGAGTCCTCCCTTCTGAACACAGTGCCCCACATTCCTGCTTTCTTCCTGTTCCATGGAGTTCTGGGGCTAGGGGCTGGGATTGGACACCAGCCCTCTGTCTGGAGAGTCCATCGAAACCTCTATCTAGCCGTGGGGGCATGGCAGAAGGAATGTATGCAGGTCCTGATAGGGCAAGAGGGGGCAGCCCCTCTCTCTGGGCTGCTCTTTAGCCCCTGCATCCATCCCCCTGGGCTTACCCCTCCCTTGCCTGAGCTCTCTGAACCCCTACCCAGAGCCTGGGCCTTGACAGCTTCACAAAGCAGTTATGAATGAACTGGCTGTGCTGGCTTGAATCTTTGTTCCTGCAACACCCTGTTTCCCTGGCCACCCTTTTCTGTCCCACTGGGGATTTACCTCCTTCGAGTTCCCACACATCAGGCTTAGATGGGAAAAGCCTCCTGGGATGGGTGGGCTTGGGAACCCAGGAGTTGCTGGGCCCACCTGGGAGCCTGGGGCCTTGGCCCTGTTGACCCTTGAGACTTCAGGTCCATCTACCCCTTCCACTCTGGTCCCACAGGGTCAGAGCCCCACGCAGGCCACTCGCCCATTCATGTCCTTGCACTTTCAGGAAGCAGACAGCCCTCCTCTCCCCACTCCCTCCCCAGCCACCCACCGCCCATGCCTGGGCCTCTCATCCTCTGTCCTGGGCACTTGCTGAATAGAGCCTTGTTCTCCATCGCTGGTGAGGGCGCCACATAGCGAGGGCAGCCCCCAGGGGGCTGTGACGCTTTTATCCCAAGAGGCCAGGCTGTCAGGCTGGGGTGCAACGCAAGCCCCCTGTT